ATTCATTCATTCATTCATTCATTCATTCATTCATTCATTCATTCTACACATATTTATTGGGTACTAATGTGTACTAGGTCTGGTGAAGGTGACCCAGACAGAGACCTTCTCCAGTGGAGAAGACAGATTTGGAACAAGCCATTTTGGATGTAGTGGGGACCTCAAAGGGGGTAAAAGGACACAACCTTAGTCTAGGAGTCAGGGAGGGCTCCCAGGTGAGGAGGCATTTAAGCAGCTTTCCTGAGGTCTAGGTCTTTCCTGAAGCTGGGTCTTAGGAGGAGAGGGATGTGGGAGAGTCACAGAGGCATTCCCCATGGAAGGATTAGCACGAGCAAAGGCCTGACATGAGGGGCCAAGGCAAGTGAAGACCTTCTGTTTGGTTGGAAGGCAGGTCAAGGAGGTTGCTGGAGCAGGAGTCAGGCTGGAGAGTTAACTGAAGGAATTCTAATGGATGGTAAAATGAAACTTTCTGCCTAGATCCTAAGATGGTAGACCCTGTACATCATGTTATGGAGTTTGGATTTTATCCCGAGGGTACTAGGGAGCTATGGAAAGTTTTAAGGCAAAGGAGGTACTCTCAGGCCTGTGCAATAATTCACTTTGCACACCGCTGACCAATCCCAGGTATCTTTCAAACCTCAGAATCTTGAGTTGGTCATTATGATCTCAATTTTGAAATTAAGGAGTAGAGGCTCAGAAGGACAGCAATGGGCCCGGTCGCACAGCAGACCTACTGAAGCGCTACTCTCCAGCCTGCCCTACTGCCTGCAGCAATGCCTCTGGCATTTTTCCAGCAAGCCAGGTCCTAGGTGCACTAGGAGGAGATCCCTTTGGGTGGAGGCTCTGCCAAGCCAGCCGCATCCATGGACAGGCCATTTCTGTAGTGGGATTTCTCTCCCTCACCTGCTCTGTGCGGGGTGGGAGTTTTGGGGGGTGGGGGTGATTTTGCAGGAGCTGTTGGATCCCCGAGTCTCTCTTTGCTCAGGCAGCAGCCCCTGGATACCCCGATTAAACATATCTGTCTTTTCTCCACAGATGAGTGGGCCCGACACAGTTGGGGATGATGCCGAAGGCTCCCGGAAGAGAAAGGGCAAAAACCTGTACGTTGGAAATATTCATGGTCCTCACCCTTGCACCCCCTTCCTCCTCCAGGGGTACAGGTGGGGAGAAGGGGCTGCACCCAGTCCTGCCCCAGACAGACACCATTGAACAGCAGGGTCTTGGGACTTAGCAGTGGCCCCACGGTGAGGTCACCAGGGTGCTGGGCGTCCGGCACTGCCCTCAGCATCTATGTAGCGTGAGGCAAGGTGCTGATTCAGTACCTGGAAGCCACAGGGAACCAAGCAGAAGCAGCCAGCCAGGCTGCCATGGCCCTGTCCCAGCCTCCGCAACAAGTAGTGGCTGAGTGACCTCGACAAGTTCTTTGCTTCCCCCGAGAAAGGGCTGGACAGAGAGTTGGTAACATCCCCCTTTCTCCTCTTGGCTCTTGAATGCTAACAGTTTCAGACACTGCCAGGAGGGAGCGCTGCTGGTCCAGATAACGTATCCCGTATTCCCCAGGCCTTTCTGGCCCCGGTCAAGGCCACTCACACTTTCGTTTTTTGGGGTTTGTTAGAAGTGCCGGTTAATGGTGTGTCTCCTTGGGTTTCCTTTTACCCCCAGGTCCAAGGCCCTGGAGACTGCAGAGGGACACATGGTGGCCCTTGGAGGGGGCCCCCTCCTCCCTTCTGTAGTGCCCACCATTATGCACAAGTGGGGCTTGGGGGAGGAGCAGAGGGATCCTTCCCAGATGCCTCCTGCAACCTTTTCCCTTGTCTGGACCTTAGCTGGAGTCCACTGCCCTACAAACTCTCTTTCCTCCAGCTCCCCTGCCCTCCCCAGTTCCCTGCAGCAACTTCAGGCTTCTGTCTGCAGCCAGGAACAGTCACACTTTCTAGGGAAGGTGAAATGCACAAACAAAAATAGTTCTCTCCACCAACCACCTGGTCCAGGCCAGAGCTGCTGTGGGTGGTGCTCCCTGGGTGGAGCAGAAGAGGGCAGTGGAGGTGGGTGTCCAGGGTGCTGGAGCGACCCTGGTTCATCAACTCTGGCCTCCTTTCAGAGTGGGCTCTGCCTTTGGAAGGCCAGCAGGTCACATTCTTAAGAGTTTGGTTGAGGACTTTTAGAATCTGGGATAATAATGTAAATAATATTTATTGTGCTAAATACTGTTCTATGTGTATTACACGTTATCTAATTTAATTTTTACCATTACTTTTAGTTTACAATTTCTTTTTTCTTTTTTACTCTATTTTACAAATAAACTGAGGCAGGAAGTACATAGAAAGTAAGTGGTAGAGGTGGGATCTGAAACCTAGCATGCTGGCTCTAATACACACACACACATACATGTATATATTTTTTCTTCAGAGCCAGTCATTTTTAAGCTTGGTGCAAAGCACTCTGCAGGAAGTTCATAGCACCCCTGCTATGTAGCTTTTGAGCCCAGAGGCCACTCAGCCCATCTTTTCATGGCTCTGATTAGAGGCCATGCTCCTTCAGCTTCGTCTTGTGAGTCCCTGATCTGTCCTCTGACTTCTGCCTTCCTTTCTCAAAATGTTCATGTGCCCATCAGGGCTTCTAAGGACCTCTCCAGTTGTGCCCTGCAGCTGTTGGTCTACCCAGCTATGCATCTGAGAGGAAAGGCTTGGCTGGGCCAGTGGCAGAGAAACACTGTGGGCTCTGAGCCAGCAAGGAGCCCCTGAAGGTTGGACCTCAGACAAGCCCCTCCCCCTTCCTGGCTTCTGTGTCCCCACATGGACAGTGTGAGCCTGGAGCAGGGGTTCTCAGAGCACCAGCTCAGGAAGCTGTGCTCTGTTATTCCTGGCCACCCCAGAGCTCTCTGAGGGCCCAGTCCTCACCCAGAGGGCTGCCAATCCCTGACTGCTTGGCCTTATCTCATTGGCTTGGAACCTTCTAGAGCAGGGTCCCCATCCCTGGGCAGCTGCTCCAGACCCTCAGTGGGCATGTGGGCCTCAGTTCCTAAGCCGGAGCAGTTTTGCCCCAACACCATGTTAAAGCTTTATGTGCATCTTATCCTTGCCTTGAAACAACCCCAGCAGGTGGTGAGTACCTTTATCACCCGTTTAAGAGATGAGAAAATGACGTTCAAAGAGGTTAGGTAACTTGACAAAGGACACACAGTAGGTAACTGCTGGAGCTGGGATTTGAACCCCGGACTGTCTGCTTCAGATTCTCACTCTTAACCTCCACTGGGTACCACTTCCCTCAGTTACAGGGGTGTCCCATAGAGCATAGAGCCATTTGAAGCTGGAATAACTTCAGAAGTATAAAGGCTGCAGACTTACACAACACATTTGAAAGCTGAATGGTTTGCATTTCTTTGCACTTACTTAGCTTTGTGATTTAGATCGTTCATTTTAAACTTTTGGTTTCAATCAGCATTTTTCATCTTTAATCAGGAGGGTGGGGACAAAAATTAAAATAAAACATTTATTATTCAAAATCATAAAACAAAATGTTTTAAAAATTAAATAATTGCCGTTTCAAAAGATGTTTTTGGAGGTTTATAGGACTTGTACTTCTGAAGTTATTGAAGCTTAAAGTTGTACTAAGATATTTGGTGCGTTCTGCATGTTCGTGGATGGGAGTGTCCAAAGCCAGGGACTGGAAGCTGGGAGGCCAGCTGGCAGGAGCTATTCTCCGGCGGTGCCCAGGGTAGGGGGTCTAGAGAAGAGGGGGGGCAGTACACAGGAGCATGGGACATTTAACCCCTTTCCTGCCAGCAGCTTCCCAGTACTGAAATCTGCAGCCTGGGG